ATGCCAACATAGAGATTAGCTTGAAAGATGTCATGATGCATTCTATGTGACAGCACAGCTGCTCTGTCCCTCTTTGAAGGTGCTGACTGAGCCAAGTTCAGTTTTTGAGGTGATGTGGATGATCAAGAGTCTAAAATTTGCATAGGGTTTCTTTTCCTGACATCCCTCTACTTCTGCTTTCTCTGGTTCTACTGGAGAACCAGAACCCACCATTTGGGGCACTACTATGGCTGTTTCTAGTAGTGGGAGGATTTCAGGGTGCCCACAAAATTAGGGTGTCATCTGTATCTCTCTTGCCATTCAGTTGTGTCCAAGTTAGGTTGTTTCACTCCTATTTATTCGACTCTTGGACCACCAAAAAGAATTCACACCCAAAGTTCTAGCAATCCAGTCAGGTATTGATTGTCCAGTTACAATGATGCTAATGGTTGTACTCAAATAATGTGTAGTTCAGTGATGTAAACTTTCTAATGTTTGACATTCCAATATCCCAGCTCCCTCAGCCTCTCCCCATCTGACAGAGGCTCTTCTCATCACCATGCTGCCCATTTGCTGGATTCACTATACCCATATCTCTTTTGTACTGGGTAGCCCAAACGCCAGATAATTGCACAAAACCCAAGACAATTTTGGTAGCAGTCACCTGGTCATTAGACAACTGTTGTAACAGCAAAACGAGCTATGGCAGCTCCTGGCAGGCCAAGACAAGCCCAGGCAAAGCCTGACAAAGTCTCACATAAAGGAGAGCTGGTGGCTTCTTACCAGTAGTGGCAGCACCATGACAAGGCTGAGGTGGATGATGTGACAGTGACAGCCATTCCAGCTTTTGTTTCATTTTTCCAGTATATGATACAAAATTTCTCTGCAAGAAACTCCACTTCCTGTTTCCAATATGGTCTTTTTGCTGCTTCCAGTTTCAGCCAAACTCAAGGACTCCAGCCCATCCTCTCTGGACAGTCTGGAACAGATCCTGTAGTGAAAGACAGCAGCAGTCAGAAGAGTCTGCTCCTAATGACCAATTCTGCCTAAGTATGTGATCAGGCTTCCCACCCTAAAAATGAGCTTTTATTTGAAGACTAGCCACAGGGTGCTCTGTCTGGGGAATATTTATTTTTACTGCCTTCCTACAATACTGGGGTATCTGCCAGTTTGCCCAAGGAGCCATTTCTTCCCTCAGCTTGTCAAAGCAGATTCTGTACCATAGATCCCAGCCTGAGACACAGCATAACCTGGCCCCTGAAAGTGTAAAAGCACAACACGCTCCATCCTCAGGGATTGCAGCAGCATCTGTGTTTGCATCATGGCTGGAGAGCTACTGAGCTGCTCTGTCAGCCTTGCAGGTGTGGCATGTGCATCAGCATTTGCCTGCCTGACTGTGCTCTGGCATTTTGGTTTGCTCAAGTTGCTTCAGTTGCACTCCCTTAGAAGAGGGTCTTGGTTTCAACTCTCTAGGAAGGGCTATTGAATGTTTAGAAGGGAAACATGTTCTGTGATTGGAGCTGTAGGTAGCTGTGGGCAATCAGCCACGGCTCTGGTCTACTGTCTCTGTTATAGTGAGTGTGGTGGATTTGGGGAGGGTGGAGAAATTACTGTTACCACCATTCTCCCTCAGTCATCTTTAAAGCCCTTCCTAGCTCCTGGTGAAGTTGGCACAGCTCAGACTGTGGTTTTTCCCCAGGTGTGCTGGCTGGTGGCAGGCTCTAGTGTATCTTGGGAGCACAGAGTTATATGGGAGGCAACCACAAGCACCTTGCAGTGGGTATTTTTGCTTCTCCTCATGTCCCCGCAGTCCGCAGGGCAATAGCAGGAACTGAAAGGTCATTACCAGAAGAAAGCTCTTTGCCAACCCTGATCCTCTGGCTGAGAGTGCAGAGCTTCTGCTGCCCGGAAAAGCAAGAAGTCTTTCATTTTGTTTCCTCTTCACTTTTGCTTTCCATTGTCTGTGCTGTCCCACACCAGTGTGGCACTGAAATGAGCTCCCAGTACAATGTCACCCCATGTCTTCCTTGAAAAGCTTGTAGAGGGATCAAGAGGCAGCACAGCTCAGCTCTCAAAAGCCAGATTTCTTGGGGGTCTGGGATGGGATAAGCGCTTCAAACTGAGATTTATCTCCTAGGCAGTTAACTCTTCCCTCTCCTTGTCAGGATAGCCTTGGAACTGGCTGTAGTTGCTTTTTGGGGTTTTGGTTTGGTTTGGGGTTTTTTGTTTCCTTTTTTTTTTGTTTGAGTTTTTTTAATTTGGACAAGAATTATTTACTGTTTCATTAGTATTCGTATGTAGAGTTGTGTTGACATGTATTGACAGATTTAATGTGATAGTAAAATAGCAAGGAAGGACAGGCTAACTTAATATTTGTGCCCTTAACTGGGTTGCCTGTTGGGTCTGGGGTTGGATTATTTGGTCACTATACAAACTGTTCAATTACTATGTCAATCCTATAGTGTAACCTTGTGACGTGTGGCTGCAAATGCAGAACATTACTGTAGCATTTTGATCTGATGAGGGCGGCCCACGAGAGAGATCTAGAAAACAGCAACTGCTCAAATCTCCCACCTGCAAGTAGGCTGTTGTCATACATAGTGCAGGACATGCCTCTCCATTTCACAGTTACCTTCGTAAAATTAGTCTGCCAGAGGTTAAGCAGAATATGTTTTCTTATATTATTCCTTCTGTTTGCTTGTTGGTTTTCCCAGCTCATTACCCTATTTTCCTTTTTCAAAGACAGTATGAATGTATAGCCAAAGCTTACATGTCTATGAATACTTTTTCTTCAAAATGGTTCCCTTCCCAGTGCTCATGACAAAAACTAAACCCTTCAAAGTATTTTGGTTTTTCACAGTGTCAGCTAGGAGGAGCCTACACACAAGAATTTGGAAGGCCTGTAGCGGAATGGCTGCCACTTAGTGCTGGAAGTGAAAAAAGGCCCCTGGAGCACCAGGATTCTCATGAGCTCTTTGCAATAACAGAGTAGAAAACTGAAAAAGGAGGCTGTGGAGAAGCAGCAGATGAATTTACGAAGACTGGGGACCTGGAACATGAGCTCTGCATCCCAGAGCATGGGTGAGAGGACAGTCTCAGTAGACAAGCACAAAGAGCCAGTGAGACAAGGCTCCTGAAATAAGTTGTGGTAATGAGGGGCAGAGCATATGCTGAAGTACAAAAGCTGCACACCTTGGGCCTGAGAGCCTGAGGAAGCAGCCTGGCCCCCTGTCCATTGCAGCCAGGGCTCCTTCTGTCATTGCACCTGACAGCAGCCCTTTGATACTGATCTTTCTAAAAATTTTATTGCAGATTATGTTAAAACACAGACCTAGCCCAGAACAGCAGTAGGGAAGGAGATGGGAAAAGTGAAGTCTAATCTAGGAGTTGGGTTTTAGTTACCTGATATTGTCAGTGCTGTTCTCTCTCTAAAGAAAGGAGTTAGTTTTGATTATTGTTACATAACAGAGTTTTTATTATTGAAAAGAATATAAGTATTCCTCAATCATATTGAACTTGATTCACATTAAAATGAATTTATTTAAATACTATTATTTATTCAAAAGGCTTGTTTAGAACTGCAATGAAAAATGAACAGCTGTGGTGTGGGGACTGCTTTTTTAAGCCTGTTCTGTGTGAACACAGGACTCATTTCTACTGAAGCCATCAAGAAGCCTTGAGCCAGCCTGAGTGTGACCTAAGGGTGTGACCTGCTTGTTCCACTCTGGGAAGGGAGCAGGTGATGCACACCAGTTATAGCTCACAATGTGTTCCATGAAAGATTATTGCAGTAGAAAAACTTAATGAGCCTTTAATTTTGTACTGTGTCTTTTCTGGAAACAGCTTTGCTGCCTGCCATGCCATGCAATGTCTAGCAGTATTTACAAGGGAATAATTGTAATTATGATTTATTTCATTATTAACTATACTATTTTACAGCAATTTTCTATTTTTAACATTGGTGGAGGACTGCTTGGAAAACCTGAATGTGGAGGATCCCTGATGCTATGGAAATTTGCTGATCAAGTTGCAGAGTGGCTTTGGCAGCTCCCTGACATTTCCCTCTGTAAATTAGGCTGTGACCACTACCCCAGATTCTCAGTGTGTTTCATATGGATAGTGACACCCCTTTGTGTTTATATCTACAGGCTGTAGCCTCATGTTAGAGCCTTTGGATTGTCTGGAAGAGCCTTTGGAATGAACCTTTTTCATGCTGCTTTACTCCCACCTGCAGCTAAGACTGTACATACAGTCATACAATGTATGAAGTTATGCTTCATACATTATTTGTTCAGGCACTCACTACAAAGTCCATACACACTAGGAATGCTCAGTACAGCCCCTTTTTTTTTTCTCCTACGTCAACACAGTGACAATGATAACAAAATAAAAGGGTGGAAAATAGAAACTGCCTCCAGGGGCTTACCTTTAAATAAGCTTCTTGACAGGCTGATAGAGCTGGGGTTGTTCAGCCTGGAGAAGAAAAGGCTCTGGAGAGACCTCACTGCAGCCTTACAGTACCTGGAGGGGGATTATAAAAAGGAGGAAGATGGACTTTTATACGAGCAGGTAGTGACAGAACAAGGACTAGTGGCTTTAAACTGAAGGAGGGCAGGTTGAGATTAGATACAGGAAGAAATTCTTTACTGTGAGGGTGGTGAGGCACTGGCACAGGCTGCACAGAGAAATTATGGATGTCCCATCCCTGAGAGTGTTCAAGGCCAGGTTGGATTGAGCTCTGGGCAACGTGTTCTAGTGAAAAATGACTGCCCTCCGCAGGGGGTTCGAATTGGATGATCTTTAGGGTACCGTCCAGTCCAAGCCATTCTGGAACTGAGCGGGCCAATCCCGAACCACAAACCAGAATGGAGCCGGGGAGGCGGCAGCAGAGCCCAGCCTGTTCCTGGGCGGGACCGCCGCGAGGCTCCATAGCTGCGGGAAAAGAACTACAGCTCCCGTCAGGAGCCACGGGCAGAGCGCGGGAACAAAGTCCCCGCTGATTTGCTGTGCTTTCCGCTGCTCTCGCCAATCAGGCGCACAGCTCACGGGGCACGCTCTCCAGGCGCGTGAGGCGGGCTGGCGGCGTCCCGGGGGCCATGGAGCGGGACCGGCGGGAGGTGAGCGGGACACGGCGGCGGCTCCTCTGGGGCCCCGGCTGGGCTGCTCCTTGGGACGGCGGCGGGTCCTTCTGATCCCGACGCGATGGGCCCCCGCGTCCCCCTCAGCTTGCCGAGGAGGCTCCGGGTGATGCTGCCTTTGCTTGGCAGCCCTGGGGGCTTGTAACAATATCCGCAAGTTTCACTCGCCTGTTGTGGAAGAGTAACGATGCAGTGGTGCTCACGTCCTACGAGCTAGTGTAAAATGCACCCACACAGGGACTAGAAGGCGATGAAAATCTTTCTTTTTTTAGAGTTCAGGCCTTTCAGACATCAGGAATGCTATCTGAGGGCCTGGATCTGCAGGACAGCAACTCTTTGTTCAGGGAGTAACCTGGGAACCTTGGATCTGTTTTGTGTGAAAGCCAGGGAGGATGCGGGGAGACAGCAGTGAGTGAAGTCTGATCTTCCTGTCCACGTGTCTATAATGACAGCTAGAGCCAGGGGTCAGAGGGAATTTAGCACTGGAAGGTGATAGGCTTTCTGCTGATCTTTTGTTGTTGCCCACTTGGAGGAACAATGGTATCCTCCTGCAGCTGTTTGAATCTGCCTTTCTCTTCCATCACTTCCTGTGCTGATGCTGAGTTTTTGCTGCTCCTTCATGAGTTGCTAACAGATTTTCCTAGTTTCCTTTATGCTTATTTGGAGCCTGGTTCAAGATTCTTCTAGTCTGAAACACACTGTTTTTCTGTGCTCTTTGTTCAGTCTTTGCCTTGCAGCTCTCCTGCTGTAACAGCAACTACAAAGAGCCAGTGAAGATGTTTAGCTGTGGAGGCATCTGGATTTAGACAAAAACCTATAGCAAACGTTCTGCTATCCTGCTGGTGTAGTTTCTGAACCGAGGTCAGCTGTGGACTGTGTAGTTTTCAGAGGACATGAACTGTCTCCAGGACTGAGTTGGTCCTGCTGACTTCCAGGCTGTGCTGGTCTTGTGAGCTGTGGTGGCAGGAATGTGCAGCCTGTGCTCCATTGTGGAAGTCTGTGCTGGCTTTACTGTGATGGTCTCTGCGCTGCTATGCTGTGCAACTACGTTGAGAGGAACATTGCTGGGAAGGACACAGCCTCATCTGTCCTTCATCAGCAAGGCAGCGCTTTGCCCTGTATTTTCTATGTTCCTCAAGATTCTTTTTATCTAGCAACAGCCCTGTGGCACTTTTCTCTTGGGAAGCAGAATGCAGCATGTTGAATACCAGTAAAGGGATCTGTTTGGGGGAAGGCAGTTCAGAGTCCCGCCTTTGGGGTTGTTATGTGGATTCCTTGCCTGCCTTGAGGCCACTCCCTGGCCCAAGAAGGCCTCCTCCAGCAGCAAAGGCAGGTTTGTTGTGCAGTGGGGTGTAAAATGTTGATTTTAAAGCAAATTGGCTCTTTTTCTAGATGGTGTCTGCCTTCTGCCACAAAACTTCATCTTTGGAGCGGGTGGAGGAGGAAGGTGATGATGAGGAGGTGGATGATGAATTGGACATTTTTGGGGGCTATGACAGCCTCACGTGCTACAACAGCAGCATGGGCAGTGATAGCAGCTCCTGTCTGGAGGAGTCTAGCGATGATGAGGTGGCAGACCGGGAAGCTGGAGAGCTTTCAACATCTCCGATGCACCAGCCATCCACAGGCCGGCTCACAGAAGAAAATGGCTCCGAGCCAGGTACTGCCTGTGCTGCCTGAAGCATGTTCAGGGGCAGTAAAAGGTGTGTGGCTGCACCTTGGGGATGCTTTGGGAGCAGCTTTGGATTCAGACTGCATTTATTGGGCTATGTGGGGGATCTGCGCTGTATAATCATGGTTAGCTGGTCTCAGCTCTGTCATTGTGGTACATTGACTCTGCCAAATCCTCACGTTTTTGGCCTTCCTTCTTGCAGCTGTGTGCGAAATGTGTGGGATTGTGGGCACCAGGGAGGCTTTCTTCTCCAAGACTAAACGTTTCTGCAGCGTCTCCTGCTCCAGAAGCTACTCCTCAAATTCCAAAAAGGCCAGCATCCTGGCCAGACTGCAGGTGCGTTAAGACTTTTCCAGCTGGCTCTCTGGCTCCATCATGGTCACAGGCTTATGTCATGCTGGGGAACTTCAACCACTCCTATACCTACAGAAAGTAGCATGGCAGGCTGTAGGTAATCCAGGAGACTCCCGGAATGTATGTGGGATAATTTCTTAAGCCAGGGAATAGACAGCTGTAGCAGAGAGAATGCAACAGTAGAGTTGATGGTCACCAAGGTAAGTGAAGTAATTGGAGATGTCAAGACTGGAGGCAGTGACTCTAGTTGCAGTGGTCGTGCATTGGTGGAATTTCCAATCTTTAGGAATATAGGTCAGCTAAGGAGTAAAGTCATGCTCCTGAACTTTAGGAAGGCACACTTCCAGCTCTTCAGAGAGAGTCTATAATTCGGTGAGATTTCCTGGGGATGGAGCAGGATCTGCCTTTATGTAGGGTAGCTCTTTAATTGAATATCAGACTGACAGTCCCAGTGGCTTGTTCTTCCTTCCTGAAGTTCCCAGAGAAGGCATGACAACTTAAAGATGGTGTTCCCTAAGAGCTGAGAAAGGACACACATGTATTTTACCTGCTGTTTCTCGTTCCTATGAGTTTTAATAAATACTGTAGTAGACTGAAAATTGTCCCAGGGAAGAGATGTATGCCCAGTTCCAGAGAGTGGCTTAGTCTCCTGTGCCATTAATGTTTCTAATCATCCTTCTTTTATAGGGGAAACCACCAACAAAGAAAGCTAAAGTTCTGCACAAGGCATCCTGGTCAGCTAAGATCGGGGCCTTCCTCCATTCACAGGGCACGGGACAGTTGGCAGATGGAACACTGACAGGTCAGGATGGTGAGTGTAAATGAGGTGTGAGGAGGTGCAGCTGCTGAAGTGAAAGAATGGGGAGACTTTGAGGGATATAAACTCTGAAGTCCTCCTCTTCCTCTCTGGTACACTTTTTTGTACGATGTGTGTGGATTGCTCTGACACAAGCTGGCAGAACACGGGGCATGTCTTTTTTCCTCTTCCTGCCCATCCACTATTGTAGCCTCATCCTCACTCCTCGTATGACTTAACCTGGAGTGTTAGCTCTATGGTCCCGGTTCCATGAGGTACTGACTTCTGCTGGCAAAGGTGACTTAAAGGTATCCTGTTTCTCCCAGCCATTTGCTGCCCCACTCCTCATAGTTGCCCCGAGTCACTCACTGATCACTTTGAGCAAAAACCAGTCACTGCAGCTGAAGGAGTAGCAACTTACTGTGTTAGGGAAAAGGGGAGTGCTGGGGCATGGCAGCAGCAGGGAGTGATCCCTGAGCAGTCTGCTGCTGGAGCAGAGCTGTAGCCTGCAACCAGGAGTGACTGTGGGATTAATCTCTCAATTTAGTATCTGATTTTCCCAGCAACCTCTGGGGAAACAAGTGGTGCTGATAGGACCCTGCAGTGTTGCTGCTGAGACGAAAAATGTGAAGTGGTTTAACCCTGAAAGAATGCACTCTCCTTGGAGTGCTTTAGCCCTGGGCTGGACTTGACCACTTTTATTGCCCTTTCTGCTCCTCCAAAAGCAAGTGACAGTAAATATTCATTAATAATATATTTTGCCTCATGTGGTGGTTAGTGACCTTGCACTCACATAGGGTCTAGTTTCCCACCAGAGAAAATGCAGTGGAATGCATAATCCCTGTGTGTTGTGTCCTAGTGCCTGAAGGCTGCAGGCTGTAGTCCAGAGGTAACTGATCTCTGTAGCTGTTCTGTCATCTTATCTGATTTTCTTTTCTCTTGTCTGCTTGTAGCACTCGTCCTGGGCTTTGACTGGGGAAAGTACCTTCAGGAGCACGGCTACAAGGCAGCTCCTGTCAGTTGCTTCAAACACGTGAGTTCTACTTCGCTGTGTATGCCAGGGCATGCAGGGCATGTCATATGCATGGGGCCCCCCTGTGCTCCTGTGACAGGTGGTGATTAGAGGCCCAGCAGGGCGTTATTGAGATCAGGTGATGCAAGAAAAGAAGTTGGGGTTTGTTGCAGCTGAGAATGGGAGTCTCACAAAGGGTCCAGGAGTTTTGGGGGAAGGAAGCAGAGGGGGACGTGGTAGAAACCCTGGTGCTAGTGATGCATGTGATTTTTAGGTTTTTATGTTTTTCATGTATTTGTAGCTTTGTAGATTGCTAAAGCATGGCTGTAGCTTCTAGTATTTTTCCTGGTTTTCTTCCCTACATGTAGGTACAATAAGCTAATCTTATAAACACATCCAGAAATATTGTAGTCTTATTCCAAGAACACAACCAACTACAAGGACATTCTGTTTTCCAACCAGAATCTGAACCAGACATAGCAAAAATGGGGCAAAAGAAACCTCTGAACTGCTTCCAGTGGGTCAGAACCCCAGGAATTATTACCTAACCAACTAACATTTTAACTTGTCAGTAAATGCTAAGTACACTAATTGACTAATCTTATAAAAACTGTAGAATTACAATACCACATGTAATTTTTGCCATATTGTGTATCTGAAAGCTTTCAAGTAAAGTTTTGCTTTTATATTGACTCTAACATTGTTGGGAAGATCTGTTTTATTTTCCAGGCATCAGTAGTAATGGCTCAGTGCTAACTGGAAACAGAATTCGTTCTGACTGGGGATGATAGTGGGAAGCTAATTTTGTATGGCTGAGTACAGCCCAGGATGATGTGCAGAGAGGAATTCAGTTTATGTGAGCCTGACAGTAGCTGTACCTCCAACATGTCCAATTTTTATAAGACTTGTTATATTCCTTTTGAATTGTAGTCTGATAATACTGAAAACATTTCCTTTTTCTTGAGGATAGGTCAGGCACACATGTTAGGTATCCTCATTGTTAGGTTTGCCATAGAGGAATGGCAATAGATACTTTGGAATAATAGGACATCTGGCAGTGAAACAGTTAAGTATTGCTATATGGTATTCTGCCTTTTGGGATCCTCAGTGAACATCCCAGTGAGATGTTTGGGACAGTTTAACTGTATTTCAAGATGTTGGCAAATCTAGGAGGGGTAAGGCATGCAAGCCTGTGTCTAAGGTGAAAGTGTAGCTGCCTAAGACATGTCTCTGAAAGCTAGAAGGGCCTAAACCCTGCTCTGATCTCCACATCCCTCTCCCAACATGGCTGCCTCAATCTTTCAGGTGCCGCTCTTCGATCAGTGGGATGATGTAGTGAAAGGTATGAAAGTGGAAGTGCTGAACAGTGATGCTGTGCTTCCGAGTCGTGTGTACTGGATTGCATCTGTCATCCAGATTGTAGGTAAGTCTCCAAAGTAATCTTTGACAGCTGGGTACAGCTAAGCTCTGAGGGAAACTTTAGAGAGCTGAGGGTAGCTGGTCAAGCAAAAGAGCAGCTCTTTGGAGCGCTACAACTGCTGAGAGATTTTGCAACAGGAAATACCATGCAGGAGTCAGGGGAAACCAGCACTGTTCTTCTTCTGGTTGCTTGTAATTTTGCAGGAATAGTTGCTTGAGATGCTCCAGTAACCTGTGCAGAGAGCTGAAGGCCATGCTATGGGTACTAAGCCTGTGGTGCTGAATTCTTGGCCTCTAATGCCTTTGTTTGTCTGCTCTGTCCTGGCAGGATACAGGGCCCTTCTGCGATATGAGGGCTTTGAGAACGATGCTGGTCATGACTTCTGGTGTAATTTGGGCACAGTGGATATTCACCCCATTGGCTGGTGTGCCATCAACAGCAAAATCCTGGTACCACCACAAAGTGAGTTTGGGGCAAAAGGGCTCAGCATATACCTGGGCATGGAGAAGGTTTGGTTTATGCCTAGCACAGAGGGACAGGTGTTCCCACTGCATGTAGGACTACAGCTCCATTTGTGCTTTGAGTTACAAGCAGCAGTTTGAGTTTGGGAAGCTTGAGACTGCTTGGATTGCTCCCTCTGCATCTCCCTATTATTGACCTAAGGATGCTGCATGCAGAGCTGATGTCAGACCTGTGGGAGCTAAGGCAGGTGGCTTTTCCTCCTTCTAATCCACATGGTGGCTAGACTTAAAATTTGAGGGAATGTTTTGGTCCTAAATCCTACATCTCTGGTAAGTGCAGTGACTCCAGTTCCTGCACAGCTAGCAGTTCAGAGAGGCATGCCACTTTAGTGGAATTCTGGCAAGCTGAGATTTGCTTGGTATGGCTCAAGTGTTTTGCTCTACCACTTCCTCATCTAGATCAGTGGAGTTGAGTGTCTGCTTGGCCCAGTTCATTCTGTAATGGTGATCCCTTCAGCCAGATGTGGGGGCAAGCTGGCAAAACAGAGTACAGAATCTGAGTGTGAAGAAGGCCTTTTAGTGCTTATGGGCTGTCAGAGAGATGAAAGGTGTGGTCCTGTAATTATTTTGGTCATAAAGATGGACTTTTTTTCCTGCTCAAATGTAGCTATCCATGCCAAGTACACTGACTGGAGAAGTTACCTCATGAAAAAACTGGTGGGAGCTAGGACCATCCCAGTGGATTTCCACATAAAGGTAACCATGGGAGGCTGTCGTTTTGCATGGGGGAAATGAAGCTGAAGTCAAGACATGTGCTCAGCATGTCTCTTCTGGTTCTGATCTGTGCAACTTTTGTGTGCTTTGAAACCTGGGCAGGGGCAGTGAGTGCTTCCACATGCTCCTAATAAACCTGTCATGATGCTGTGGGTAATAGAAGCACAGCCTCTGTGCCCTCTCTGTACAACAGTTTCTGCTTTGGGTCATAGGCAGGCTTTAAAAGCTGTTGTCATGTAGTCTGCTGGGAAATAGTGGGGATGAGGTTTGGCATTTTGCTGAAGGGCGAGGTTAGTGCAGCTCCAGCCTGGCATTTCCCTGCCCTGTTTCAGTGCCAGGAAATAGCTCTGAGGATCAAAAAACTTTGCCTTCTGTGTTGGTAGCAAAGCAGCCTGCAAAGAGTGAGAAGGGCACAGGCTTCCTTTAAGTACCATGGCCTTGGCATCGCTATAGCTCTCATGATTGTTTTTGTGTAGCCTGCACTGAGATTACACCTTGTTAGCAGGAAGAGGATCTCCTGTGGCTAGGAGCTCTGGAAATGGCAGATAAGGAAGACAGTCCCAGAGACAACAGACAGGAAGGCAGGTGATAGGTTTTTTTGTGTGCAAGGTAAGTGGTGACACTGAGCTGGAGATCTAGATGTAGTTAGTGCTTCCGATCTTACTTCTCAGAAAGTTTAGAAGGTGGTTGTAGCTGCTTGTTCCTGGGCCTCAGCTTGTAGCTGAAAGGGAAATGGTGGAAGGAAACACACATTGCTTTTCTTTCTCCCCTTAGCATCTCCACTCCCACCTAATAAACAGGAAGTAGAAGGGGAAGGGACCTTAGCTTAAAAGTTATTTTGGATTCAAATGTAGGCTGGTTTGGGTATCTATTTTGTGTTTCCTAGTTGCTGCTTAGCATCTTGGGATCACAGTTTGAAAATGTCAGGGGTTCTATAAACACCACTGGGCATTTGTGGATGAGTAGGACAAGGCTGCATGAGCAAACTAAAGGTCTCAGAGAAAGTCAGAAAGCAGCCAGTGACTCCACTGTGCCTTTGGGCCAGTCTGCAGAGTAACTGGCTTTGGATGTGGATTTGGGAGATAGATCATCATGTAGCTCAACCTCTGATCAGAATAAAAAGGTGAAAATAAGAACTTGACCTCTTTTGAAGTCAACTGAAAATCCTGTTGCACTTTGGGAACTAATTTGCAGCCTCAAAACCCTTGTGATCTCTTTCATGACTGAAAAGGCACACACAATTCCTTACTCAGTTCCCCATGAACAGAATCTCACTGAGAACATTCACACAGTGTGGTGGTGCCCAACCACACTGTCATGTCTGGAGCTGCCAACTACCTGTCCCCCCAAAGAACCCAGTCCTATGAATTCCTTCCTAGTCAGCTTTGGGCAGTGCATGTCTGTGGGGAAAGCTGTTCTCTGAAGTGTTTGAAGAACTGTGGTTGATCTCACTTCCTCTGTTGGTTGTTGCCAGATGGCAGAGAGCATGAAGTACCCGTTCCGGCAGGGTATGCGGGTCGAGGTGGTGGATAAGAACCATGTGTCTCAGACACGTATGGCAGTGGTGGACACAGTGATTGGGGGCAGACTGAGACTCCTCTATGAGGATGGCGACAGTGATGATGACTTCTGGTGCCACATGTGGAGTCCCCTCATCCATCCTGTGGGCTGGTCACGAAGAGTTGGCCATGACATAAAGAAGACAGGTAAGGATCAGGCCACTGCAGCCATCTTCTCATTTGCTGGGAACTGCCTGCACCCTTCTGTTGACACCAGTCTTGACATGATGGGAGTGAGACAGTTGCCCCAAGACCTAACAGGTGAAGTCTGCTTAGTTTTGTGTCTGCTGACTTTTTATCTGGATAAGATAAAAGCCCTGTGATCACAAGTCAGAATGGGGGACTGTAGGGTTTCCTACCTGAAGCAGGCAGGCTGTCCCCTTAGCGTGAGAATGCAGACTTTGCAATGTGACAGATGCTTACAGTCTTTTTGAGGAAATTCATGCTGGCTTCTGTAACACTGGATGCCATCAGGTTGTGTTTTTCTAGACTTTTACCAAGAAGAATTGTTGATTGGCTTACACTGGCAAAGTAAAAGACAAAGAAAAAAGCAAGACTTGAGCTCTGCTGATCCTTTTGGTTGTCTCTCCATTCCTTGCTGCCTCTCCCTGGTGACTTCAGCTGCACGTGTTATCAGTAGTACTCAGGAAGCTGAGCCATCTGTTTTTGAGCAAGCCCTTCATCACAGCCCATTTTATAAGTGTAGAGGGACTGACCTATTCTTTTTAGTAAATGGTCTGATATTGAGGGGGTTTATAGCAGCTAAGCTCTCACAGACTGAGTATTATTTTTCCTGTTTTTTTACTGCAGTTGCTGCAGATTTTTTACCTGTCTGTGTTTCTTCCATTCCTCACAGAAGAAAAACGTAACGACATGGCAAACCATCCCACCTTCCGGAAGATTTACTGTGATGCTGTGCCCTATCTGTTTAAGAAGGTAGGACAAGTCTGCCTTTCTGTGGGTGTCACAAAGAAGGAAGCAGTGATAGCACTTCCTTGCTTGGGCATACATGTGGCCATGTGCGTTGTTGAGGGTGGTCTTTCTTATACCTAAGGGCAGTAAGGTCTTTGGGGTGTCAAGGCTGTTGTTAAGAAGGAGCAGGTCAAACTAGAAAGCTGAAAGAATTAAAGGACAGTGACAGATTGAGGCACTCGTTCAAAGGGCAAGCAAGGGAGCTTTGAGTTGGAGAGGGAAGAGGATTACATAGGAGAGACCAGATTGCTGGTAAGGATGGAGATGAGAAGGAGATTTGCTTTGTTGTGGAGCAGCAGTTGGGCTTGGCTCTCTGACTGACCAGAGCCATGGCAATAGGTTGCTGACACAAACATAGTGTTGGTTTGGCTGCCTCTTTGTATTTCTTGTAATACTTTTGCTTACCCCTCCCAAGCTGAGCCAAGTGAAGAAGTTCTAATCCTATTTGCACTTGCTGTGCTGGGTGTCAGTATGGGACTGTCCCATACTCCTGGCAGCACATGGTATACCAGAGTCTTCCTTAGGTACGAGCTGTCTATTCTGAAGGTGGATGGTTTGAGCGAGGTATGAAACTGGAAGCCATTGACCCCCTGAATCTGGGCAACATCTGTGTGGCCACTGTTTGCAAGGTAAGTTCAGTGAGCCTAAGGGGGTCTGCTATGTTTGCTTGGGATAAGGCAGCTTCTCCTCAGGTCTTTTCAAATTAATAAAACCAGGTAGGATTTTGCATGGGGGACAAGAGAGGGCTGTCAAGAGAAGTGGATGGTGTTGTGTGGAGGGAATTAGGGAACTGGGGGGTTGCATCAGAGGTCTGACGAACTGTTATCCATGTACTTAAACAGACAGCATGAAGATGAGCATGCTTGGTCTGCCAAGCTAGTGCCCAGTGTGTATGACTGGCAACCACCCTCTTTCCACCCTTGGGCATGCAGTGGGGAAGATTTGTTCTCCAGTTCTGAGAGTGCATAGAGAAAGGAAAAGAATGGGAAGAGTTGTGAAGTGACTTCCATGTGGGCAATGACATGAGGATAGACGTGTCACCTTCAGTCTCTCTTGATGAGGTGGTTGTGAGTGCTACTCTTGTGCTAGTGTTGAGAACTAAATTCCTTGCCCAGGTTTCCTCAGCAAAGTGTGTTGAACGTTGAAAATATAGCATTCATCTGGGCTTTTCCTGTTTCCTCAAGAAGCTGTTTGCCCTCACAGAACCCAAGCTAAGGACTTTGACACTTAGAGTTTGGCAGTGCGATGCTGCAAGAGCTGCTTGTGTCTGTAGAATATTCCCTTCAGCCATGGTTTGGAAATGGAAGAATTTGGGACAGGCATGCCTGTCACCTTTGGTAGGCACTAATCAGTGAGTGACAGGATGGGACAAGTCTTGTTGTATGAAGTAGCAAATCTGAGGGTGGAGCTCCTATCCTTCTAGCCAGCAACAAATTCATGATCTGGCTGGTGGAGATGGTTTCTGGGCTGCTAATGAGGTGTTTCTGGGGGAGAACAGAGTTCCCGACTGCTCTGTTACCGGAGCCTGGGCTAGCTCTTAGAGCACTGGCATTACGCCAGGAGTGAGGAACTGCCTCAGTATGGGGATTTACCAGAGGCAGAACCTTTAGAGCCACTTGCTCTATGATGCCAGACACAAACCTCAACGGGAACCAGGAAGGGGAGAAAGAAGGCGGCTCTCAGTCTTGAGTATCCACAAGGAAGGGTTTATTCCCAGAAAAGGGATCAGAAACAAAGAGCCCAGGGCACTCCTGTGCAAGGAGTTTTGTACAGATACAAATTGGGGGGTGGATACAAACAGCTAACCAATAGGGAATCCTCAGGGGAGGAGTGAGGGAATTACATCAAGTGTCTATGGCTAATTGGAGTAGGAGGGTGGAGAGGATAGGTCACGTGGACCAATGGGGCTTCGAGGAGTAAGGGACTTCCAAAAGGGTGTTGCAGTCCAGAATTGGCCTGAGGTTAAAGTAGCAGAGAAGATTCGGGAACAAAAGGGGCTGGGTTGCCATGACAGGCCAGGAAAGAGCTGGAACAAGGAGGGGAATGGCATGAGGGACAGCTTTGATGGCAGGTAAAACCCAGGGATAAACTAACTTGGGGAGAATATGGTACAACAGAATGAGCCACTTAACAAGGAATCAATAAAATAAATTCGAACCACAACACCTGACCATTTAAGGCTTTTCACATAGTCCTTTCACAAGGTTCTTAGTGTTGGTCCCAGTCCTGCAGAACTTGCTACTTTGGGGGTTAGCTGGTGTTGACTAACATACTAGGAGAAGCCTGGGTCATATAACATTAAATTTTACTATCTAGTGGAAATTGTGATTGATATGTGGGGACTTTTGAGAGAATTTTCTGCAAGGAGGAGAGGCTTTAGAGCAGGTAGAGCTCTACACTCATGCGTTCACTCCCATCTCAGGTTCTCTTGGATGGGTACCTCATGATCAGCATTGATGGAGCAACATCTGATGATGGCTCTGACTGGTTCTGCTATCATGCGTCCTCACACGCCATCTTCCCTGCCAACTTCTGTAAGAGGAACAACATTGAACTGACTCCACCAAAAAGTGAGATTTGGACTCTACCCTGTGGTACAAACCTGCATGCAGAATTTCAGGGGGGATGTGTTTCTGAGAGGGGTCAGGTTCAGATAAATCAAAACAAGGTCCCAATCAGCTTGTTTTTCAGGTAGACTGCTAGTTCAGCGAGCCAGGCTATTTGAGCTTTGCCCATATACCAAGTCTTGGTTAACTCCTGGTAGATCAGTGGCAGAGATGTATGATCCCCAAACTGAATAGAATAAAAGCTTTTAAAGGACAGGGAGGGTGGGAAGGGAAAAGTAGAGCCATTGCTGCGGGACTCAGTGCTTAATTGTCCACAGTCATCTCTATTCTCTTTGAATAGATCTGACGTATTTCTTCAAAGTTGTAGGAGATAATCACCCTAGTATTTTTGCTGCCTCATCTAGCCATACCCAAAAAGGATTGCTCTGAATTTCTGTGTTGCAGCATTTTTGTGCAGTGCTGTTCCATCTTCATTTGGTGTTCCTGCTGCTGGGAGAAAGAAAGATACGTCTAAGTGGTGTGTTTTGAACATACTACTTCCTACTTGCTCCTGGTCCTCCCCTTTCTCTGTGGTCTGGGTCTATGGCTGACCCAGATCTTCAGAGCTGCAACTTGCACTTTTCTGTATTTGCCTGCAGAGAGAGGTGCTGGAGTCCCATGGAATCCATGCACTAGGTTCATATCCAAGATCAGGCTGTACATGCTGGTTCATTGACCTGCTCTGCAACCAGTTACTATGCCTCCTTCATGCCTACTCTGCCTTTTGTGTTACCTGGTCTACTCAGTGACTGCCTGTTTACCTCTTAGTGTTTCTTCCTTCTGCAGGGCACGAAGCAAAGACATTCAGCTGGGAGCGTTACCTAGAAGAGACCAAATCAAGACCTGCTCCATCACGGCTCTTCAACACAGTGAGTGCTGCCAGGAAGAAACAATGTGTAGGGATGCTTGGAGTAAGCAAGGAGGTGTGCAATAACTCTGGCTGTCAACAGATCACTGAGATGGAAGTGACTTCTTGTCCAACACCCCTGCTACAACAGGGTAACCTGTAGCAGATTGCTCAGGACCATGTACAGATGGACGGAGACTCCACAACCATGTGGGCAACCTCATGTGTTGGCACTCATGACTCCATGTCTCCAGTTTGTACCTGTTAACTCTGGTCCAGGCACTGGGAGACACTGAGAGGAATCTGGCTCCATCTTTGCACCCTCATTTTAGGCATTTATATACATAAATAAGGTATCCCTGAGCGTTTTCTCCTCCAGGATGAACAGTCACAACTGTCAGCCTTTCCTCTTACAAAAGATGCTCCCGTTCCCTCATCATCTTCCTGGCCCTTTGCTGGATTCTCTCCACTATGTCTCCTTTGTACCAGGGAACAATTCAGGTATGGCCTTCTCAGTGCCAAGCAGAGGGCAAGGGTCATTTCCACTGATCTGCTGAAAACAGCTTACCATTAGCCTTCTTTGTCCCAAGGACACATCCCTGGCCCATGTTCATCTTCATGTCCACTGGGATTCCCAGGCCTTTTTCTGCCACACTGCTTTCTAGTCAGACTGCCCCTAGCTTCTGCTGGTGCCTGGGGTTCTTCCTCCACAGATAAGGGATTCCAGCTTGTCAAGGTGCCTCTGGAGGGCAGCAGAACCATCTAGTACATTCTGTCTCTCCTCCCACTTTTCTACCACAAGCAAGCTTGCTTGGTTTGACATGATACTGACATGTCATACAGATAATTAATTAAGATGTTCAAGAGGAGTGGATCCAACTAGACTTCATGCCACTAATAACCATCCTCTTGGCCCAGTCTTTCAGCCAGTTTTCAGTCTATCTTGCTGCATCCGCACCCAGCCTGTATTGTTCAGTCATCTTCTCTATGAAGTTCTTATGGCAGACAGTGTCAAAAGTCTTCCTGAAGTCAGGACAGACAATACACAGTATACACAATATATGCAGTCTCTAGTGGGCTGCAGTTTGCTTACAGACAGCACTTTAAGGAGAGCGCAAAGGTTCTCCAAGTTGGGGCATCAGTATCCTGTCTTTTGTGGGTCACCTGTGATTCTCTAGTGTTTCTGTGAGCTCCATGCTCCTGGTGGGCTCTGCATTGCTCATTGCCTGTGCATATGTGGTTGGCATGTTGGGTGGAGAGTGGGGAGCTGCTTTACATCAACAAAACTGCTGCAGTATGTGGGCCTATGGTGGTTATTCTGATTCCCATGGGGTATGTCAGGTAATTGTTTGACTATATGTTCCTGAACCGCTGCTCCCCCCACTAAAGGCTGGGCTGAAATTGACTGAGGAAACAGCTGGCCTTGGATCTGTTTTTGGATCTATGGGCTTGTTGTCTGCTTGCTTGTCATGGTTTGACACTGGCACAATGCCAGTGCCCTTATGAAAATGCAATTTTTTAATTGAATGCTGTGAAATGTGATTGAGAACAGAGCAAAGCAAGCTAAAGCTTAATAACAGGGAAAAAAACTTTATTAAGCTACTACTATTATACTACTATAAAAGGAAAAAGAAGGAAAAAAACTACACAAAATTTAAAATAAAAACTTTCTAAAGCATTCTTCTTCCCACCACCCAACTCTAACAAACTACAGTGAGACACAACCTGGACCCCAATCAGGTTTCTACCCTCTAGACAATGATACTCAGTCTATTGAGGGAGAGAGGAACCCCTCCTTTGCTACAGACCCCACAAGAAACATAGCTGTTACATCCTGTGCTTCCATGTCACACATGGCACTGCCTGGACAAAAAAATTTGCTAATGATGACCCTCTCCTTTCTATGCACAGTGCTCTCACCACCAATGCATGGATGGACAGACTGCTTTTAAGATTTTTCTTTTCAAGGATGTCCTTCCAAGATGAGAAAAAACTAACAGTTCAGTTTTTCATTTTTGGGACCACAGTCCCCCCAATTTTCCTCTGGGGCTGAAAGTCTAAAAACAGAGATTTTCTTCTCTTCTTCTCTGAAAACAGGGGGCACTACCACAAACTTCCTTAACTTTTTTCTGTTTGCTCTACTTCTGTCTTTTTCCTACCTGAAGCATGGTCTCTTTAGGTCACCGACATCTTCCTAAAATTCAGTCTCTCTTAGAGGAGAAGATCAGTTCAGTCTGTGGCTATTAAGAAAAAGTCTAGCCAAAAGCCACTCCATCATCTCCCCCCAACCTTCTTTCTCTCGCAATCTCAAATCCCAGGCTATCTCTCTTTTCTTTGAATCAAGAAAGAGTAATATTTTACAAAGCGTTCATTTTTCAGGAAAAATTAAAAGTCACGACTCCCAAAGATGGCTCGCTGCCCAGATTCTCCAACTCCCACAGGTGGCTGGGCACCTTACAGACCCCCCCCTCCCCACTCCTTCCCCGCGGTGAACTGTTGACAAAACTGCTGCTGTCTCTTTCTCTCTGTCTCTCTCTCTCTCTCTCTGAGAGAGAGAGACTCTAGGGGGGGAACAGAAACATCCCAGATTTCTCCACCCTTCCATCTGCAGGGGACCAGCCCAGTTCTAGTCCCTCCACCCTTAGGCCTGCCTCTGAATGCCACATGGCTTTTCCCCTCCCCCACCCAGCCACGGCTGGGCAGGGGAGAGCCTGCACTGCACGCTGACCAGAACCAAAGAGAGCGAGTTCTCCTGAGAATTCTGTTTTTAACCCCTCTGTGTTCTCAGAAGCGTGTTTACTTTCAATTAATCAATATCCAAATTGACCATTCCGAAAAAAAGATTCTTTTTCCGTGTCAACTAACACCATTGCTTTAGGCTGGAGGCCAGCCTGTGTGAGAGTGGTATTGGCCAGGTACAGGTTTGGACTGAGTGAAATGGCCCTTGGCTTTTCTTTTTTCATTTTTTAATTTTTATGCACCCAGGACTGTCCCAACCATGGCTTCAAGGCAGGCATGAAGGTGGAGGCAGTGGACCTGATGGAACCCCGGCTCATCTGTGTGGCCACGGTGAAGCGTGTAGTCCAGCGTCTCCTTAGCATCCATTTTGATGGCTGGGACAATGAGTATGACCAGTGGGTGGACTGCGAGTCTCCAGACATTTATCCTGTGGGGTGGTGTGAGCTTACAGGCTACCAGCTTCAACCACCAGTGACTCCAGGTGAGTGTAGATTTTACTGTGGTTTCTAATGCTAGAGATAAAGATTTCCCTCCTCCTGCTCTGTGAGTGCCTCCTTTGAGTTTTGGGCCTTGTAGGAAGAAGGAAATGGCCTCCTTGATTTGCACCGACTACCATAAACCTTCCTCTGTTGCCACATTCTAGCAGCTGGCAGAGGGAGGAGTCTGATGGGGAGAAAACTGCCTGAGTTTTGAGATTGGCTCAGTGTCCCCACACCAAGAGAGAATTAATTGCTCCTGAGGAAGTTGCGTAGAGTTCCAGGTGGTCCTATCCCCACACATCTCCCTTTTATTAAGCATAGCTATAACCTTAGCCAGATAGCAGCAGGAGCTTGACCCATGCTCCCTTTTCTCATCAACTCTTTGGCTCTGTCTGTAAAAGGTAAGAGGATCCTCTCAAGAGTTCATTCTTTCCCTTGTCACTGGGAGGCCACTGCCTCACCTATGTGGATATTTTCCTTTTTGTCTCAAACTACAAATCTTGTTTCTTTACTGCCCCTACCAAGTCTATACTGGGCCTCTCTCCCCTGTGCTGCCCTAGCCTGATGCTCTGGGCCCTCACCTGGAAGCACAGACAGAAACTGCACTAGAGCCTTTCTTTCCCCTCAGCTGGTTGTCTTGGGAAGAGGGCTTTGGCTTGGGGGGATGGGTATATCTGTTTCTCTCTTATGTCACTTCATCCCAGTTACCTACTGGTTATGGGACTTGGCTTTCGTTTCCCTCTCGTCTCCATGACAGAGCCCACAACTCCAGCGAAGGCCAAGGAGGTGCCCAAGAAGAGGAAGAAACCCTATGGAAAGAAGAGTGAGTGATGTTTGATTAGTGCCCTCCCGCTCGCTCACAGGCTGGGCCCAGTTAGAGGAACCCTGTCCATGTCCCATCAGAGCAGGAGAGAGAGGCCTTGTCTTGCTGTGGATGCCCTCAGTCAGCTGTGGGTTTACCAACACAGCTTCACCCTTCTTACCTGCCCTATTTCCTAAAGTGCAGAGAGCTCTGTATGGGAAGGATCTGTTTTGCAGTCTGTTTTCTGTTGGCTAAGGTATATATGGCACTTGCTTCCAGGTGTGAGGTTGTGCTGCTGTCACTACTGTGTCCATGGTTGGAGGGAGATGTTTGCTGCAGCTGGATGGTAGCTGGAGAGCAACCTTGCTTTTTACTAGGGAAAGAAAGCCTTAAGATGGCTGAAGAGGCCAGTAGAAATACTTTTATTGTTTCATCTTATCATTGTTGCTGTCATTGTTGCAGTAGATGTGGCAAATCATGTAGACAGACAAGAAATTCCTTCCTGGGGGGTGGAGAGGAAAGGACATCTAAAGAATATAAAGATTTTCAACGTAAATAAAATGGCCAGCTAAAAACCAGAATAATTTTATGGTTACAGTGTCTGCGCCTTGCAGCAAATATGCTCATTGCCTAGGACTAGACTCAGACAGGTAAGCAAAGCTGACTCCACACTGATTCCAAGAGGACCTGCTCCCTGGAAGTTAAACAGATGCCTTGCCTTTAATGAAGGAGAACACGAAGGAGCATATTTTGAGATGATGACTATAGAATTTTTCTCCAGTAGGCCATTTCTGTTGCATAACCAGTTGGCAGCTAATGACCATGTAGCTTTCTGCTCAGTTGTGCTGGTCCCTGGCCTGTGGTTTCTCAGAGGAGCAGGGTTGCTGATTTTCCAGGGGAAAAGAAATACACTTTTGCTTATACTCTGTTATCTCTTTGTTAAGGAAAAAAGTTACCTGCCAAAGCCCGCAGTGTCAAGCAGACTGTCAAGAAGTCTTCTGCCATGAACTCAAAACGAGAAGCAAAAGCTGCCAGCCAGACTTTGCCAGAGCCAGCACCTGATGAGAGTAAGGGAATGAGTTATTCTGCCTTGCAGCTACATCCATACACGTTCTTGGCCAATAAGTGTTGGGCATCTCCAGGCAGGAAAAGGCAGCAGCATGTCAAAGGTCTTTCTGTACTTCTCCAGAGACATGCTGGAGAGTAGAAGAAAGCGTTTCCTTGCTTTCCCTGGAAAGGTTTACCTCCCAAGAAGGTTTGGTGGGACCAGTAATACTCAAAATCTCAATGCTACTAATGCCTGTTGAGGGCCTGTCTGTCCTGCTGAATGGTCTGGTTGTGTGAGGTGAGGGAGGAGAGACAAAGTTGATATGTCAGAGGTGGCTGTTACATCCCAATCCCCATAAGGGCTGTTGCAGCATGTGAACACAGCCTCATACTGTGGTCCCAGCAGAAGAGCAGCTGGGTCACTTGCCAGCCCTAGTAGGTAGGGGGAAGGAGGGTGGGTGAGGTGGCTTGTGCACATGGGGATTGGAGAGTCATGAAGGTCCCTCCTGTTCGTTTAAGTTCCCCTGTGTGAACTCAGGCAGATTGGAAATGGATGACATCCACTTTTTCTTCCTTAGGAGTTGTTCTTGGGAGCCAGCAGCTGAATGCTGGTTTAGTCCCATTCTGATTGCTGCTGTGACCATGGATAGATTTGCAGTGGCATGAAAGGGCTGCGTGTGGTGAGGTACCCTCAGGAAGTGGGTTGGCTCTAGGGCCTGGAGCATTTTGAGTACCTGCATGGACAGAGCTGGTTTGGAGGTGCTGCAGGTAATACTAGTCAACATTTTATTTACTTATTTTCCCCTCTCTCTTTTTGTCTCTTGCTAGTCATTGCTGTACGGGTGAAAGAAGAAACCATTGA